GGTGCTTTCTGCATCGTTCAATATTTTGCCCATAGAATACTTAAGCATTGCAAGTCGAGGTTTGAATATTTTATTCAGTACTTTCAGCTTGAGAAATTCTAAGTACATCCTTCCCTTTTGGTTTTCTAACTCCAGGTCTTTGCACATTTCATTATAATACTTGACTTTGTCTTCTCAAGCTGTTCTTTCATATTTTCTGCTCATGTCTTTTACCTCTTCATTTCTTCCATCTGCTTTAGCTTCTATACACTCAAGAGCAAATTTCAGAGTCTCTTCTGACATCCATTTTGTCTTTTTCTTTCTTTCCTGTCTTTTTAATGACCTTTTGCATTCTTCCTCTATGATGATCTTGATGTCATCCCACAACTCTTCTAGTCTTTGGTCACTGGTGTCTAATGCATTCAATATGTTAAGATGGTCTTTAAATTCAGATGGCACCTGTTCAGGGCCATATTTTGACTCTCATGGATTTGTTTTAATTTTCTTCAGCTTTAGCCTGAACTTGCATATGAGCAATTGATGGTCTATTCCAAGTCTGTTTCTGGCCTTGGTTTGGCTGATGATATTGAGCTTTTCCACCATTTGTTCTCACAGATGTAATCAATTTGACTGACTCATAGAGACCCTATATAGGGTTTCCGAGGAGAGGCTGGTGGGTTTAAACCACTGACCTGAGGTTAGTAGTACAGTGATTATCCTACTGCCTCACACCAGGACTCTGAAAGGTTGTTGTTGTTAAATGCTATCGAGTTGGTTCCTTCTGACTTATAGTGACCCTGTATAAAGTTTCTAAGAAGCTGCTGGTGGGTTTGAACCATCAACCTTGCAGTTAGCGGCTCACTGCTTATCCTACAAAGCCACACCAGGACGCCTATATAGAAGTTCTACACTGGCCTATCGAGGCACTGAGTCAGAATCCACTAGATAGCAATGGGTGGGTTGTGTTTTTTTTTTCTTTTTTAAATTAGACATGTTACTTAAAATTCTATAACTGAGAACCATTGCTACGTGAGGCTCTTATTAAACTGCTTACTTTTGTTTCAACTGTATCTTATGGTACCTTGTTTGTATATGTGTATTGTGGTTTATGATTATGAGTTTTTATTTTTGATAGCTTACTGGGGAAATCCTATGAAGTCTGGTCTGAAAGTAGTTTCCCCCAGATAGTATTTGTATTCTGCTTCTGCCAGATGCTGGAAACATTGCTACTCCGAGATCAGTTTAAATTAAATTCTTAGCTAATATTTTTGAGGCCACCTAAGGAGCTCTGGAGTCCTGGTGTGGCACTGTAGGTTAATGCAGTTCAAGCTCACCAGCTACTCTTTGGAAACCCTATACAGGGTCGCTATGGGTCGGAATCGACTCGTCGGCACTTAACAACAACAACAAGGAGCCCTGGAAGGAGCTCTGATAGCGTAATGGTTACGAATCAGGCTGCTAACCTCAAGGTCGGCAGTTTGAAACTACCAAATGTTTCGTGGAAGAAAGATGATGCTTTCTGTTCCTGTAAAGATTTACAGCCTTGGAAACCCTATGCAGGGTCACTACGAGTCGGAACCGACTCCACAATACTTAACAACAACAACAACAACAACAAAGGCGCTTTGGAGAAGGATATCATGTTTGGTAAGGTGGAGGGTCAGAGAAAAAGAGGAAGACCCCCAATGAGATGGATTGGCCAAGTGGCAGCATCGATGGACTCAAGTGTGGCAACAGTAGTGAGGTTGGCCCAGGATCTGGCAGTGTTTCGTTCTGCTGTGCATAAAGTCACTATGAGTTGGTACCGACTCGATGGCACCTAACAACAACAACAACAACAAAGGAGCTCTGGTAGAGTAGTGGTTATGAATTGGGCTGCAAACCTTAAGTCAGCAGTTCAAAACTACCAGCTGTTCCATGGGAGAAAGATGAGGCTTTCTGCTCCCATAAAGATCTACAGCCTTGGAAACCCTGTACAGGGTCTCTATGAGTCGGAACCGACTCCACGGCACATAACAACTACAACAATAAGGACTGTGAATTCAGGCTGCAAATCCACATGAGGGCCAGCCTGTGGTTACAAGTTCTCATGGGAGGTATATTCCCCCTCTTCTACTCTTTCCAACATTTACCTTGTAACATAAAAAAAGAAAAAGATTTTTATTTTTACCCTTGTAGTATCAAGCTTTGTCTTGGAGGGAGAGATCTACCATTAAATCTTTTACTTTGAATGGGCCCTGGGTTTTATCATCTAGCCACTGTACTTAACAGGACTTTGGAATTCAAAAGTTAAATTTACCTAAGTTATCCATTTGGCTTAATTTTTTATCTTTGTGTATTCCTTACCAATTTTCTAACTCATCAGTGTACTTTTTTTTTTTTTTAACTTTAAAAAAAAGTTTTTATTGTAAATATAGTGTTTACATGGAAGAAATCGGTTTTACACTCATCGTTTCATTGCAATAATTACAATATCCTCCGCGCATCATCATTCAGTAATATTTTTGCTTCTATTCTCTCAGTTGTGTGTGTGTGTGCGTGTGTGGTTTTGTTTTGTTGTTTTTTTTGGGGGGGGTGTACACAAAAACACTCAGGAATATATCATTTAAACAACCCAAGTGCATATTCTGCAAGCCTGCCTCCTGGCCACCAGCTCTCAGTTCCTCTCTTTCCTCTAGAATCCTCAGCTGCTCTCTCTCTCCATGTCCTCATCTCTGCCTCCATCTCTGGTGTTGCTGCTTCTCAGGATAGTGTTCTTCTCCCTTGAGGGTCCTAGTGTCCTCTGTTGCAGTGTCAAATTTGAAGAAGTTGGTTATCTTCCTAATTCCTAAATCAATCATGATGGTGTCATTCACCTTGATGAGAAGATCTGGTTCGAGCATCATGAGTCACGAGGTGTGAGATTCCCTTTGTACCAACAAGTATCTTTCTCACTTTTCACAGCTTGTACTTTGCCTCTTCAGCTCTGATGCAATGAACAGCAAAACGGCCTTTGGTGTCATAGATCAGGCGGAAATGCTCACCTGTTTTCTTGATGTTGATGACATCCATGAACCCAGCAGGGTATGTGATGTCAATTCGAATCTTGCCATCTATTCTGATGAAGTGCTGCATACATATTTTCTTTACCTCATCTCCAATCAAGGCATACTTGAATCTATTCCTGAGGAAGATTATGAGGCGGAGACATTCTCTTAGCTTGTGGAGACCTATCGATGGACCAGGCACAAAAACACCTGTGAGTTTGTTGCGCATCCAATGCTTAGGTGCTGTAAAACACTTCAAGTGTTTCTTGGGGCCCTGGGCCATGGCGGGCGAAACGCTGTCATCAATATACTTTTAAAGATATTTTAAAATAGCTCATACAGCATTAAAGTTGCTTAGACACGCTGCCAGAAAATAAAATACATTTCAATTTCTTGGAGGAAAGCTGTGGAAGTCTGACTTGGAGATCTTTTCTCTTCAGCTGCTTCTTGAACACAGCCTCTCACTGTAGCATCCCTTCACTTTGTGAGCTACCCTTTGCTGCCTCACCATCCACGCCCAAAGCTCAAGAGTTTCCCATGACATTCACTTGTTACCTAAAGGAAGGAAATTCAGACTGCTCCCCTTACACTCAGCTATTTGCGCTCAGACTTTTCTTTCTCTTGCTCAGGAAAGCACTAGGATAGTTTACAAAAATCTCCCCTTCTCTTGGGTGTTCTTAATGTCTGAGTGCTTCTCTTTCTCATATTCATCTTAGAAGTAGGGGTGGAATACTAAATTCCCCATGAGGTGGAAGGCTTGCTAATCTGAGGACTTCTTCCTTTTCTTTCCCATCAGATTTTTCTTAGACGGCCTGGTAAGCAGGAGTGGCGTTGAGACAAATTAGTTGATAGTAGCAAGTTGATCAGCACCCTGCACCTTGTAAGAACTGATATGTCTAACCCCAAATGTTTTTGTCTCTCTTTAGAATGTGGGAGAGCTTAATCTTCAGCTTTGATTCCTGATTACCAATTTGGGGACAAGAGGAGTTCCTCTTGGTTGATCCTTTTACAGTAATAACATCCCTTCACAGTATAGGCATGCCTCAGAGATATTGCAGCTTTGGTTCCAGACCACACAATAAAAGGAGTCACACTATTTTTTTTTTGGGGGGGGGGGTGTTTCTCAGTCCACATGAAAGTTATGTTGACACTGTACTGCAGCCTATAAAGTGTTCAAGAGCATGATGAAAAGTTTTAAAATACTGTGAGAATTGCCAGAATGTGACACAGAGACACGAAGGGAGCCTATGCTGTTGGGAAAATGAACCAAACAATAAAATGAAGTATACCTGTGATAACAAGTAGCTCCGCTGCTGCTACTTATCCAATGGGTTCTCCTACACGCCAAGTAAAATCCATACTCCTTTTCAGCCGCCTCCTAAACCCTGCTCCATCAAACCCCACGCTGCCACTCCTACTCCACTCCTCCCTCCTTATACGTACCATGGACATCTATTTCTCAAACACATTAAGATATTTCCACTGGTGCTTTGACACCCTCTGCTCCCTCAGGGTGGAATGATTTTCTCTTGCTTGGCCTGCAGTTGTCTCCCTAAAGTCTCAATTCCCATGTTACTGCCTCAGAGCGGCCTCCACCCACTACCGTAAGGTTGTCCCACTCCATTCACTGCCATATTCCTCTGGCTTAGTCGGGACCTGGAATTACCTTGTTGATATGTTTACGTTTTTATTGCCGGCCTCATTCAAGTATGTGTACATTCTCGGCTCAACACAAAGAACTTTACTGGCTCATCTACCGTTGAATTATGCCGCTAGACTGTGCCTCTGGCACAGAGGAGGCCCTTGCTCAGTGACTATTAAATGCGTGACATAAGGACACTCGAGCCACACTCAGCCGAGCTCAGCCCTCACAGAGGTCCCCATAGCTGGGCCAAGAGAGAGGTTTTCCGAGGCCGCTGTAACGGGACCAGCGCGCAGAGGCTTCTGGAAAATGTAGTTTGCTTGGATGCCTCGGCTGTGGGGTTTGCAGGCGCGATGCCCCGTGTACGCAGGCGCACTTCCTACACTGTTCCGCCGTTGCAGCCATTGTCCGACCCGGTGCGGCTGAGGCCGCTTTAGGAAACTCCTCTGTCGTTCAGAATTCGGGAGAACAGAGCCTGGAACTGGGGCAGGTGAAGCCCGCCCGAGGCTCTTGGGTGGGCCAGAGCTCGAGAAATCCGGAAACCCGTGGAGGCGGTGATTCCAAGTGCGCGGGTCGGGGTGGCACCTCTCACGGTCAGGGGTTGTTCGCTGGAGCGCACCCTCATCCTGCGGAGGGACTGAGGCGTGCCCGTGGGGAGTGGGGCGCGGCCGAGAATTTAATTTGGGGAGAGGAAGCGACCGACCCGGGCAGGATATGTGCAACTCCCCACCTCTCTCTCCCAGAGGAGTAGCACTGTAAACTGAGGAGGGTCTAGCGGGGTGGGGCAGGACAAGTCTAGGGGCTGAGGTCGAAGACGGAGGAGTGGGTCCTCGAGTGGGTCATATCCTCTCTTCCCAGCCCCTGTTCGGGAGCGAGGCTCCAACGAGGTGGGAATGGCCCGGAGACCGCCGAAGGCCTCGCTCCAGGTGAGCTGTGCGTTCCTAATCCAGCGAGGTCCCTGGAAGGTGTTTTGAGTAGTCATTGTTTTCTCCTGGCTACCACTTTACCTGGCTAGGTTGACCCCCGCGGAGCCCGTAGTGGTCCAGAGCTGGTAGGAGATGCTGGAGAGGCAGCGGGTTACTCAGAAGGGAGGGGTAAGGTGGGGGGGGGGGCAGAGGTGCGGTCCTGTCGTGGGAGAGGAGTTAAGCGTGGAGTCAATGTTGAAAGAGCCCTGAGTGTCAAGTCTGTCCTTTGAAGTTTGTCAATAGGAATGGAGACGATGCTTGATGCTTGACAGGTCGAAAACTGTGAATGGAAAGGCAGTGAGTGAAGGAGAAAGGAGCTCCATCTTTTGACCCAGGGGCTACAGAGAGAAGGGGCCTAAGACCCTTGGTAGGAACACACCTAGGAAGAGACAGGAGGTGGACTTTCTTGGGCAAGGTGGCAAAAAAACAGAAAGGACTTGTCCATTGCTTTCCATGTCCTGCATTAATAAAGATATATAATACTGCACATCCCAGAAACTCCAGCCCTTCACTTTATGTAAAACCCAGTCATTCTTTAAAGGGGTGAGGACTTTCCAGAAGCGTCACTCCCTGAGGTTATCCATTGAATGCCAAAAAGTAGATCAGTGAAACATAACAGGGCAGATATTGTAATTCACACATGCTTTAGAATTAAGGAAAAATTTAAGATTGTAGTTTCGAGGTGTGTAACAATCAAACTCAACTCTTAAAGCCTGGATTAATAATCGCCTTTAAAAACAGTTTTTGCTGTTGTTGTTAAGTCATCTCCAACTCATAATGACCCTGCATAGGGTTTCCGAGGAGCAGCTGGTGAGTTTGAACCGTTGGCCTTGTGGTTAGCAGTCCAGTGCATATGTTACAATGCCACACCAAAACCCCTAAAAGTAGTTAACAGAGAATTAAACATATTCCCACAAGATTTAAAGCCTTGGAAACCTTATACAGGGTCGCTATGAGTCAGAACTGACTCAAAGGTACTTAACAACAAGAACAACAAAAATTTTGTTGTACAGAGTTGAGCCTTAAGGAGTAAGACAAATACAACACTAGAATCGGACAGTTATTTGGTTTGAGGGGAAGCAGAGCAAATTATTATCACCTTTACATACAAAGTGTTTCAATAAAAATTTGAGTGAATTCCGACTCAGTGACCCAATAGGTCAGAGTAGAACTGCCCCATAGGGTTTCCAGGGCTTTAATTTTCACAGAAGCAGACTGACACATCTTTTTCCTGCAAAGTTGCTGGTGGGTTTAGCTGCTGACCTTTTGGTTAGCAACCAAGTTCATAATCACTGTGCCTCAAGGCTCATGAAATTAAGATGATTAACATCCTATCAGGGAGTGTGGTCACGGCTCTAGGATAAGCACTGGATTGCGAACCACAAGGTTGGCAGTGAGAGTCTACCAGCTGCTCTGTGGGAGAAAGATGATGGTTTCTGCTCCTGCAAAGATTTACAGCCTCAAAAGCCCTACATAGTGTCACTATGAGTCAGAACTGACTCGGTGGCACTTAAAAACAACAACAAACAACATCCTATCAGAGATGATGAGTTTTTTACAGGAGAGATTGCCTTTTTTCATGGTGCTGAGTTTGAAGTCTAATGGAATGTGTATTTCATGGTCTTCCAGAAAAGTAAAGTGGAAATGTGTTTTGTGCAGTGAATTATAGGGAGGGACTACATTAAATGTCACTTTGAAAGTTGTGTTGTCCAAGTGCTCTGGTTCAGTCATTTTCTCCTGAAATACCTTGATGGTCTGCTTGGGTTACCTACCTCAGACTGTCAGTGTTGAGCAGGCCTGATAAAACAGAACACCGACCCTACAAAGTGAATTTATAAGCAGAAGTTTCCCGTAGTCATTGATCTCCCGTCTTTGAGCATGGCCCTTAGGAGAATGTAAAAGATGAGTAATTGAGTCATATGAGTGCCTCTCCTAGAAGTTAATTTCATGGTGCAAGATAGCCTCATGCAGGTATATAGCACAAGGGAAAGGGGGATGTCAAGTGTTGGTATGGAGGCTCACAGGTTGCTTTGAGTACAGAGAGAGAAAAGAAATTCTGTCTGTGGGAAGGACTTAGTAAAGCACTGTCAAGTGTGAGTAGCATCCAAACAGGTGAAGATGAAGAGGGTAGAGATGATTGACTTTGTCAGTCAGAGGAGAAGATGGGAGTCCAGCAGACAATGGGTCATGAAACCCACTGTTCACTGTGACAAAGGTATGGGCTGTAGGCAATGTATGGGTTGAGGACAGAAAGAAATTTGGATTTTGTCTTTGGCCATGATAACCTATTCATTCATCCATCCATTTATTCAACAGCTAGTCATTGAACCCCAGTGATGTATCAGGCACTTTTTGAGGTGATTAGGGTACATTGTTGTTTTTAATTGCGGTGGAGTGATTCTGACCCATGGTGAGCCCATATGTGTAGAACAGAACTTCTCCGCAGGGTTTTCAAGACTGTGACCTATTATGCGCAGATGGCCAGGCTTGTCTTCTGAGGCACCCCAGGTGGGTTCATACTACCCACCTTTTGGTTAGGAGACAAGTGCTTAACCATGTGAACCACCAGAAACTTTCACTAGTGAGTAAAAATATACAAAGGTGTCTGTTCTTGTAGACCTTGCATGCTAGAAGAGAAAAGAATTCACTAAATCGTTATATTACACAGTATCCTAGAGAGTGCTAGTGGACTTCAGAAAAGAAAAAAAAAAGTAGAGAAAGATAAGGGGGACTGAATGGAAAGGTAGGAAATTTATGGTAAAGGGTATAATTTTCATATAAATAAGGTGACCAGGGTAAGCCTTATATTTATTGTGTTCATGATATTTGATCAAAGGGCCTAAGGCCAGCTGTGTGTCTCATGTGTTCAAGGGGCAGCAGGGAAGCCAGTGTAGTTTGGGCCAGTGTTTTTAACAGGGACATAGTATGCTTTCTTCTTACTTTTAAAAATTGTAGTGTGTAATGAATTGTAGGAGCAAGATGCTGAAAGTTAGAAGTCGAGAAAGGTGTCTTGATAGGTAAGAGCTTCCCCTTGGACTTGGCCAAGTAAGACGTGCAGTGGCTCCAACAGCAATAGGGTGGGAATAGGAGCAGAGATGTGAGAAGCAGGATGCCATTACAATTATTAGGATTTATATGGTAGCTATGTAGAAAAAGCACTGAACAGTGACCCACAGTGTTGTCAGTTTGAGCCCACCTGCTGCTTCATGAGAGAAAGATGACGTTTTCTGCTCCTGCAAAGATTTACAACCTTGGAAACTCTGTACAGGGTCACTATGAGTTGGAACCGATTTAAGGATACTTCACAACAACAATGGCATATGTGTTGTAGCAGTTTCTATACCAATTCTATGTACCATTATTCATCATTTCTTCATTATACATGTACTACACTTTTAGTTAAAGAAATAAAAGTACTTGCCAGTCTTAGATTTGAATTCCCCTGAACAGAAAGAAATGATGATAAAAGCCATAGAAGTGTTTTGGAACTAGATGGAGATGGTGATTGCTTAACGTTTAAAAATCTACTAAATGCCACTGAATTATTTACTGTAAATGACTGATCTTAGATGAATTTAACATTTTAAAAAAGAAAAAAATTTTGGAGAAGTTTACAAGAAACATGTTGCATATGGAATCCAGGTTTCTTGGTGTTCTATCTGGATGAGGAGGAAATGGGTTCCATCTCTGATCTGGATTCTATTGACTCCAAATCCTGAGAGCTTTGATGACACCAAGATGAACAGACCTAACCAAATCTCACTCAGGTCACCCAAACTCACACAAGATGTCCCTGGACTACCATCCATCTTCGAACAATTACTCATACTCTGTATTAATTCACTGAGCAGATATTTTGGAGTATGTACCCTGTGTCAGGGAGTCCTGGTGTGGTGCTGGGGGTTAATGCGCTGGACTTGTAGTTCACACTCACCAGCTGCTCTTTGGAAACCCTATACAGTATCGCAATGAGTTGAGACCTGTTTAACAGGACTTACCCACAGCAGCTCTGTGCCAGGGTCATGCTTAAGTAGGGTTGTGCTTCAGAGCCAGTCAGGCGTCTTGTGAGAAAATTTAGTGAGACAGTACATATAAAATGTAGTGCTTATTCAACAAATATTAGCTGTTGAACTTTTATAATGAGTCACCTAGGAGATATTTAAATTTTTTGACATGGTCCTCCATAGATAAGGTTAAAACGTTGCCTACATAAGTCTGAGCAATGCCAACATGTTTGGTTTGGGGGATACGGAAATGAAAAGGGCATGGCCTCATTACTCCAGGAGATTGAGAAAATGATGAGGGAGAAATAAATGTGATTGGTGTGGTGCTGTGGGATAAAGCAGTGGACCGCAGGGTCAGTTTGAACCACAAGGCCAGTGGTTCAAACTCACCAGGCACTCCTTGGAAACACTATACAGAGTTGCTATGAGTCAGAACTGACTCGATGGCACTTAAGATCACCACCAAATGACAACAGTTTTGAAATGGAGACATAGACCAAATGCTAAAGGGGACAGGAGAAAAGGAGATTTAGAAAGGCCTCAGAAGAGAAGGAATCATTGAACTGGCTCTTGAAGGATAACCAGGAATTTTTAGAAAATACATTGTGGTCAGAATAGAATATGTACATTATAGTACAAAGCAGGACTACAAACTGGTTCAGACCAGTTCAGTCATGGCCTAAGAAGTGAAATCAGAAAAGATACTAAATTTAAAACTATGGGTGAAGTGGAAGAACAATTGAAACAAGAAAAATTATGGATTGAAGCCTTGAAGAAGGAGACTTGGCACAGGTGTAGTAAACCCTTTCCGGAGCCTGATACAGGAAGTTGGGTTATTTTCAGGACCGGAGAGTGACACACATTCAAAGCCATCTTTGGTTGAGGCACTGTCTTTTCCAACAGTGCCAGTCAAAAGATTTTGTTGCTGTGCAACACACAGGCTGCCCTTTTTTCTAAGAGAGAACTTAAGTTTCAGTTATTATCCTGGTTCACACACATTTTACAAATTCAGATTTATTCTGCTGTCACTTCACTGACCGTAACTGAATTGGTAAGAAATGGTTTGAAGCCCTGGCACAAAAGAAAGGAAACACAAAAAAGAATAATATGACCAGGGAATGCATG